CCCCACTCACTTCTCCACTCTTAAATCCAGCTGTCATCTGAATACCAGTAGCCCCATCTCACCCACTGTCGCCCCCAAAGCTTCACTTGCCCATGGTTCCTCCTGCTTCCCGTCTTCTGCCCTACTTACTTATTCTTTCATGAACACTGCAACTGGACCGGTGCTTTCGTTTGAGTCATTTTACTTTACCACAGAACGTTTGCGGAGAGGGATACAAAATGACCACTGGAAAATAGTTGTGTGGGGCATCAAAGAGCAACCCAGCCCTTTCCCTGTTGCACTATGACCTCTTCTTCGTCCTCCCCTCCCTGTCTCCTCATTCCTCCTCCAGTGATCTCAGCTCTAGTGAACCCTCACTCAGTTCGTCTCCCTCCCATCTTAACCTCTCCTTTCTTCTCCCTCTTTGGTCTCTAGAGAATGATTCTCAGAGCCATAGGTGGATGGTCATTTCAGTGGTGTAAAACCCCCTTCTGGCCCTTCTGGGCCTGTCTTTGTATTTGTGCGATCCTTTTGGGCCTCATCTGTTTGCGCAGAAAGAGATATGACGGGTAACACAGTTGGAAAGAAGAAATTGAGACTTCTTGCGCAGTTCTCAAGAACATGAGCTGCAGAGAAGAAGGTGAAGCTGAGGCAAGGAGAAGAGAAACAAAAACAAGATTGGGAGGGAGTCAAAAAAAAAGAAGAAAAGGTTACAGGGAGGCAAAGTAACACTGTGAGCGCATATTGCATTTCCCTTTATACTTGCTGTTTCTGCAGAGTTTAATTTCAGCCACAAAGCATGTGCATGTCTGACGCTGTGAGAAAAACTAATGACCACACAAAACAAGCCCGAAGACTGTTTCAGTCCTAACTCAAAACACTACCCCAAATAAGGAGAAGTACTTTAAGTTTGCTGCTTAGGTTCCCTCTTTTAATTAAAGATGTGAGATACTGTACCTTAAACACACAAAGTGCTGACTGTTTTGCGGTTCTTTGTTCTCGTGATATATTTCAAGCTTCCTGCCTTGAGATAAAAGCCCTTTTAATAAATCTAGTTTAAAGGTCCAGTGTGTAACAGGAGGATCAGAAATTGAATATAGTATTCATAGGTATGTTTTTAAACGTGTATAATGAACGAAACTAACTGAAACTAGGAATTAAAATGTTTTTGTTACCTTGAAATGAGCCGTTTTTATCTACAGAGGGTGCAGAGGCTGCCATGTTTCTACAGTAGCCCAGAATGGACAAACCAAACATTGTTTCTAGATAGAATGTAACATCTTTTTTGAATGTTTCGCAGCCACCGTAGTTTCTCCTACTTGCTTGGAAGGCTGTGCTTTATTCAAATGGTTGCAGTCTGAAACCTCACCCCTAGATGACAACAGTATCACATTTTTGTACTGACTGAATAGAATCGCCTCATGTAAGTGTATATTAACAAATAATAATGTTAAATCTGCTTTCAGGTCAAGAGTGAGGGCCCCAAGCTGGTGCCATTCTTCAAGGCAACCTGTGTATACTTTGTCCTGTGGCTGCCCACCTCAAGCCCATCCTGGTTCAGTGCACTGATCAAATGTCTGCCAATCTTCTGCCTGTGGGTTTTTTTACTGGCACACGGCTTCAGCTTCCTCGGTGCTCACTCCAGTGCCCGCAAGATCTTGGCCGGCCTCATATTTTCTGCTCTGGGTGATGCCTTTCTCATCTGGCAGGAGCAGGGCTACTTCGTCCACGGTGAGGAGAAACCTCGCACACTGAGTTGCTTGGTCACTATGGATTTTACATCTTAAAGGATGAATCCGGTTTCAACTTGGGTCTTCTTGTTGTAGTTTTGGTCACCATTGCTATTGGTTATAGCGATGGGGCAAAAAACATGAGCAGCCAGGTCATACGTCATACAGTCATACTGGTTTAAAAGAAAGATCCTGCAGAGAAAATAAAGGCAAATATTTGTTGCCAGCATCCATCATGGTTTACAGACATAACTCCTTACTACTTACTGTAGTAAACCCAAGTTTTCCTATTTGTTTTTTTGGTTTCACCTCCAACTAAAGTGCTAAACCACTGGCTTGTTCACACATTATTACATCGTCTGACTGCTCATCTGTCACTGGAGTTGTAGTGACTTGTTGCAATGTCACAGAATTCTCAGAAAGCTGTAATAACCACCAGAAACTACAAATATAAGAGCCAAGTTATTGAGATATTTATATATAATATCACTTCATTCATTCATCGCTTTAATTAATGTTTTTTGCATTAGGGTTTAGGATACTTTAGACTTTTTACTTTTTAGGATGTTTTGAAATAAATCCCATATATGTCCCACAGGCCTTCTGATGTTTGCCATCACTCACATCCTCTACTCGTCTGCTTTTGGAATGAAGCCCCTTAACGTGTCTGCTGGCCTGATTATCACTGCTGTGTCCTCTCTGAGCTACATGATGCTGTACCCCTACCTGTCCGGCCCCTTCACCTACCTGGTGGCTGTCTACATAGGCCTGATCGGCTTCATGGGCTGGAGGGCCGTCGCAGGCCTGCAGCTAGCCAATGACCTGTGGACCTGGACCAAGCTGTCCGCCTGCCTGGGCGCCGTGCTCTTCATGGTCTCCGACCTCACCATCGCGGTCAACAAGTTCTGCTTCCCCGTGCCCCATTCGCGTGCCATCATCATGGCGACCTACTACGCAGCCCAGATGCTGATAGCGCTGTCAGCCGTCGAATGCCAGGATGTGGAGGTGGCCAGGAAGAGAACATGAGATACCATGATGTCCAAAGCAAAGGTGGCAGCCACCCCCCCTCCGGTCAGAGTGATCATGGACACATCTCACTGCCAGATCCCCAAACCCTCAACCCTCATCTCAGTGTGGCGCTCCCACACTGTTGTTACCATGACAGCTGGTCCACTACAGTTTCCACACGGCCATCACCCTACTACCCCACTAGTATGGTCTAACACCAGTCTTCTTACCACGAAGATATGGTAGTATTATCTTCAGCCTCTCCCGACAACAGTCCTACCTGCCTCTTCTGATCCTAGACTGGCTGTGTCTCAACCTAGTTACCATGGAGACAAGTGTAGAAATATTAACCTGCTATATATAGAAAGTATTACTTTACTTTTAACTGTTATGTTTTAATTTAAGGGGAGCATCTCACTGGGGACCTTCAAGGAGTGTCTGTGGGTGGGAGAGCAATTGTGTGTGTGTGCATTTATGTGTGTTTGATTAACACTCTTACCTCGCTTTCCACACAGTCACCACACTGACTCCCACCACACACACATCTACTCTGTATGCGGTCCAATAACACAATGCAACATTTTATTTTGGTCCTTGTTAAAAAGGGAGTGTGTTTTTTTTTTTTTACTGACTTGCCCATGTTTGGCTTTTCAGTCTCCGTGGCTCTGTGTTCCCCTGAATTAAGGGTGCTATTCTTAAAGTCAGGAGCATATCCACACCTGTTTTATTATCTGCAGTCCCTTCCATTTCATTTACAACGACCACACTGCCTTTGTTCACGCCGCTATTTAACATCCTCTGCAAATCCACACCCAGTCTCTTCGGATGAATGAATTAGGTTGTCCTTGAATAACTAAATGTACAGAGAAAGAAGAGCAGAGATGGAAACAAAAAAAAAATAAGGCAATGAGGTGGAAAGGCAAGGAGGTAGAGTTGCGTGACTGCAACAACCACTGTGTATTGTAATTTGAGTGCCTGAACACTGAGTCAGACTCTTAGGAAAAGGGTGGTTGTTTGTTGAAGCGCGAACGCTCCTGCTGAGATTTTATTGACACCGTCCTGCTGTCACAAAGAGAACACAGTAAACACTGCAGTCACAGCAGACCACTGCACACATTGTAACATGCTGTACAGTGCACCTGCTTCTCCTTTTTGGCGTGAAGTCTTTCAGTGTTTTGCCTGCCAGTTTTTCCAGAAATGTAGGTTGCAGAAGTTCACATGCACACACACCTGACACCTACAACCCCTGCTGGTTTAGTTATTAGGAAAAGTCCACAGGGTTCTTATTGCTGGACTACATCAGCCGACCCATGGTGTCACTAGCGTGGGACCATGTTCTAAAGAATGCAAAGAAAGGACTATGTTACTGGCTTTTTTTGTTTTTTTGTTTATCAGCTCTGTGTGTGTATGTGTATGTGTGCGTGCATGTCTGGGCCTCATAAGGTATTCACTCTCTCATGACGACACACACACACAAACGGGCACATAAACATACACATTGCCCCAGGGCCGCCTGACCGAAGAAAAAAAAGGGAGATGAGGGAACTGGCTTGTCATGTGAGGGAACAGTAATCCCATTATTCCCAATAATTCCTTCTCACAGCACACTTCATCAGCTTTAATCCTGCAAAATCCACCGCAGCTAATGCCAGAAAGGTCGGCTGATATTCTGTCTTTTATCTATCACACATTTCCCTCTCTCACCTTTCATTTGTTTCACCCTCTACAAACGTTTATGTTCGGCTGAAGTGTCTTACTGAATATCGAAGAAGTATACTGTAACTCTTTGTACAGGCGTCTATATATATGCATGTTTTGAGTGTGTGTGTACTTGTGAGAGTGTGTGTGTATTGTCTTAGCCATTGAGTGAACGCCTGTGACAAGTCAGAACCAACTCAAGGCCAGAAATGCTGTGAACCATCATAGTGGAGTAGACACGCTGAGTATCTTTAATGTATTCTCACAAGGCTCTTAAACCGTCTTCATACCCTTCACCTCTTGAGATTTGTAACCTCTTTATGTGTTTTATAGCAGCCCCTGAATGTGCTGCCTGTTAAAGATGACTTTAAGGTAATATTTGATTAGGTACAGTATATTTAAAGTGGGTTATATATATTCTTTAGGTTCATTTGACCCTTAATAGGAAGCATTTCCATTGGTGGACATGCCGTCTCTTGACTATACCCTTACCTATTACCTAGCATATGTCACTGGCTCTATGATAAAACCACTAAACTCAGTTTTATTATAAATGTACACATGCAATTGAAAGTATTAATCACTAACAAAAAAAATAGCAAGGGACAGGTATTGTTATTTAATGGTCCAGGCCACATGCACCTTAACATGATATATTGTGCTGTATATAAAACAAACGTGCATGGAAAAAGAAACAGACCCATGTTATGGGTTTCTTCTGCTGGGTCAATGAACCCTAGAGCTGTCGGTAACACACCAACGTACGCACACAAAAAAATCACAGACACATCAAAATATGTTCATGCCTTACATCAGCCACCATGACAGGTCTGCAGGCAGACCGTGGTGTTGACACTCAACACAATTTGTTAAACAGCAGCGCACAGTCTTAAGTTTGACCAGGAAAGACACTCAGCCCAAGTGTCCTGACCGCTGCTTTGCCAGATAGTTCCTCAATCTCCTTTTGGCCCGTCAGCATGCTTTTTTCAGCACCGTATTTTTGCTTTGTCAGTCAGAAGTGTCTCGTCAGTCCATCTGTGTGACCACTCGCCTTCTGTTCCGTGTTTTAATTTGTCCTTCCGGCGTTGCCGCAGAGTCCCCCTCTTCTAATCTCATCCACCTCGCTGGCAGAACACGTTCTATCATCAATTAATATGAGCCTTTGTGCTGAAAGACATCCACAGAGGCTCGCTAGCAGACATGCATTTGTCTGCTTATGCTGGCTTAAGTCAGGGTTTTATGAAGTACAAGGAGAGATGCTGGTTAACATGATTGACTCTAGTATGCAGTCTGAAGTAAAACCACGAGGGAATGACAGAATTGAGTCAAGCCGTCTTAGTCATCCTACTATGTAGGCAATTTATGTAATCACCACTTTCTTTGTCTCCTGCCACATAAAGCCTCCTGACTCTTGTTCCTACAGTCCTAATGGCTACATGCCAGACGACAGGCTTTACTTTGAAGTATTTCTGAGATTATTTTTGTTGGCCAACCCACACTTTGGAAAACCTCCATGACTTTGGTAGTCTGTAAATAAAGAAATAAACTCAAATGCTATATTGAATCACTAAAATTCCAGTTATTGTGCGTAACTGGAGGATTTAGTTTTAAATATTCACTGTTTCTCCTCCATCATTTCTATTTTTATTAGACTTGGGCACAGATAACCAAAGCTGAATGCATAATAGAAAACCAAACTCATTTCACTGAGTGGAACTTGTAAGCATCGGAGCCCACTCATGTATTAAACAACCGTTTGTGTTGCAGGAGACACAGGTCCCCCTCGTTGGTGCTGGAGTGCATATGGCCTTCCGCTTAGGAAGGAGGTTATTGTTGAGTGATACTGTAGCTGGAATTAGGTGAGGAGGTGAAATATGACACACAGGGGAGGACTTCCTTTACATCCGGCTGCCATCCTGCCCCCACCCCACAGATGGCAGGCCAGCAGGCGCATCACTTTACATCACCCTGTTCTGAGCTTTGTGTGTGCAGACAAAAGGGACCTGAGAGAGCTGTAGGAGGCCAGTATGGTTCGGCCTGTGCTGTAGGAAGTGAGCTGGAACCAGTAGCTTTTGTCGCAGAGAGAGTGCCCATGGTTTTGCTCGGACCTCTAAATAAGTTGGCATTTTTCTCTCTCTCTTTTTTTTT